AGCACAGGTCATAAAAAAAAAAAAACATTATTAGATGCAACAAAACAATCTAAATATATCTATTGTTTGTTGTTTAAATCATATACTGAAAGATTCTTTTCAACCTATCTTTTTTTTTATTGCCACATTACCCTGTCTTTAAAATGGATCATTCCAGATCTGAACCACCCGTCTTTACATGCTTTCAGAATGACAAACAGTCATAAACAGCTAAATAGGGTGAACAGTTCGTAAATGACTTTTTACAATATATTGGAAACGACAGTGAGGAGGGGTGTGAAGCTAATTAATATGGTTCAAAGCTATCCTTGCATAGCACAAAGCTGACTACATAAATATCAAATATGCCTATAATGTGCAAAATGCATAACAAGAGGTTGGTACAAATAAAATGTTGCATCTTTAGGACAAGTATCATCATGTAAAATCTGTGTGTGTGTGTATATATATATATATATATATATATATATATATATATACATACATACATACATTGAACTCATAATTTTATCGCATTCACAAAAGTCTGGCTCTAAAGGAATCCATGACTGTGCATTTGCATACTGTTTTCACACATATCCCAGAGTAATCTGGCACAAACTCAGCAAACTCCTAGATACTGTCAAAAAGCTCTAAATTAAAGAGGGGTAACATGACATTTATATGCATCATGTAGTCCAGATAATGTGATGGAAATATCCTGATCCATTGGCATACCCCAAAAACGTCCGTTTCAAAATTTTGTGTATTCGTTATTTTGAAAAAGAAATAAAAAAGTGCTTTTTAAACACGGGAAGTAACCAAATTGACAAAACAGAGGAGTACTGCCAACTTATAAGAGCTTCTTATATTTCAGGCGTTTATAAACATACCAACAATAGCAACTCAAATTGATCATAATGGTGTGCCTTTTATCACTTCGATCACAAAAAAGCCCTTACTAATCTATATTGCTACATCAAAGTAAAGTATGATCATATTTAAAAGTTCCTCATTTAAGAGAACTTTTGTTTTCTTTTTTCTCTCAGTCCAAAAATAGAGAGGATACTCTTTATAAGTTTGGTTTCTTTTCAATAGGTGCTTGAGGAGCAACTGACATGCCACAAACATAAAAAATGTTGGCATTGTAATAGCACTACAAGACATATTTATATGTAGAACAGTGTATTCACATACATGGCTAATAGCTAGACATGTCTTCTTTTAGTTTTCATTAACAAGCAGTGACAAACACGTCTGTAATGGAATATATGTTCACCATGGGCTGTGAGACAAAAGGCAGTGTATCTGATACTTCAGTGATGTTTTTGAAAGGTTGCCCATCTAATTCAAAGAAACAAGGAGAGCACCTTCTAAGAAAGTACACTCTAAACTTGCAAATATATACAAGGCACTACTCTTGATCCGTTCTGACTCGTTCACTTTAAAGTGATGCAGCACAGAAGTGATAACTCTAGTGCCGTCATATCTAGATCCCATGAGCGCCCGCCACAATTTCTCTCAAAAAGCATCTACCAAAATAAAGACTAAAGAGTAATTTAATGCTAAATATAAAATTGCATTCCGACACCAAGACAGTCTATCTAGTTTAGTCCCTCTTTATAATAGTTTTCATTTATATGTATCAGGCACACGCTTAATCATCAAAAGGTAAATCGAAACTAATGTCTAGTAGATCTAGAAAAAAACAACAAATAAAAATAAAATAATTATTCATATACCCGAATATCCTCAATAATCTGCGCAAATCAAAACACAATGCACTCGCTCTCTCTCTGTCAAGCGCTGAGTTTGTACCTTGTAGTTACATTTAGCAAAGCTCAAAATTGATATTGACATCTCCAAGATTTTATAATATTTACATGAGAAGAAAATAAATAGTATGCTTTATGATATACACATTAATCTTTTCTCTACACTTTTTATATCCATGAGTAAATGATTGTTTTTTTTTTCCCACTGAGACATGTTTTATTGCTGTTAATGGAATCCTAAGGTCAAACAACAGAAGATCCAGAACACAGGCTAAAGAGAGAAAACAGAGGAACACATGACTGTTTAAATCAAGCTGTTAACGGGGTATAGAAAGCTTCACCCATGCAAACGTATTCAATGTGCATTGCTAATGTAATGCAAAAACATATTTTATGTTAAAAGAATCTTCAAAGAATAGTTCACCCTGTTTTTTTTTTTATTTCACCCTCATGTTGTTTTAAACCTGTCGGCTGTTTGTGTGTGTTTTCTTTTTTTCTGGAACAGAAAATGTTTACACTTACAACAACATAGTCAGCACATATGTCCAAAAAGGACAAAAAAATAATAATAAAAAAAGCGCCATAAAAATACTGCATACATCAACTATATTTCTATGTGGTATTTCATGTGAGGAACAGGACTTTTTACTTTTACGTTTATGGTGCTCGTTGTTGGTTTTTATGACCGCTAAACTGCTATCGTAATGAGAAGAGCAAAGTGTCTCCTTTTGTGTTCTTCAAGAGCATACAGGATTGGAACAACACGAGGGAGAGTATTTAATTACAGAATCATTTTTTCTTCTTTTTTTTGTTGGGTTAACTATTCCATAAGGAAGGGAGTATTAAACTATAATTCTATGTGCATTTGCAGAATAGCATTTTCTCAGGTCTGTTTGTATATATAGTAAGTATGAGTTCCCTTCCAGTGCAGTGGTTTGTACATAATACAGTCACTCTCGTTATCATATAGGAAGATGCAGTATGTTACATATGTCGACACAAACTTGAAAGTGGGAGCTTGACTATCATTGAAACAAATTTGAGACAAATTTTTTGTTTCACTTTTTTGTTGTTATTGTTTAGAAACATAAGAAAGAAAAACAAAAAGAGGAGATGGAATTAGTGTGGCTGCAGGGCGCCCTGTATTTTGGGTTTTTTATTCAAGTAAGTGGCCCAATACACCAAGTTAAAGGTTCCGAAGAGCAGCGGGAAGGCTATTCTGGCGATCCTGTCGATCTTGCTCACGCTGTTGAAGGTCTTCTTGGCCTCGGGGGGTTTGGGTTTTGGCTCTTCCTTGGGCTCGGTTGGCGGAGGGGGGGCACTTTTAGCAATAGTTGCCAAACCAGGGTCTCTGGCAATGTTCGGAGCAAACGTCGTCGCCGTCGCGGCCGTGTAGGTGTTGTTCTTTTTCAGCAATGACTCCTTCTTTTTCTTTTGCTGTAAAGGAGGTCAACAAGAAAGATGTCATCTGCTGTTACGATTGCGCAGTATTGCTGATACCTAACTACAGCGTCATTGAGATTCTTCTTCATATATGTGACCCTGGAGCACAAAAGCAGTCTTAAGTCACTGGGGTATATTTGTAGCAATAGCCAACAATACATTGTATGGGTCAAAATTATTGATTTTTCTTTTATGCCAAAAATCATTAGGATATTAAGTAAAGATCATGTTCCATGAAGATATTTTGTAAATTTCCTACCGTAAATATATCAAAACGTAATTTTTGATTAGTAATATGCATTGCTAAGAACTTCATTTGGACAACTTTAAAGATGATTTTCTCAATATTTAGATTTTTTTGCTCCCTCAGATTCCAGATTTTCAAATAGTTGTATCTCAGCCAAATATTGTCCTGTCCTAACAAAGCTTATTTATTCAGCGTTCAGATGATGTATATATCTCAATTTCGAAAAATTGACCCTTATGACTGGATTTGTGGTCCAGGGTCACATATTTATTTCCCTCAAGATTCTCCCATGGGGTTTTATAATGTTTTTTTTTTTCAGTTTATGAGCAAAGTAAGGTCTGCGGTAAACATAACTTGACGATACTTGGACGTTCTGTTCTGCAACATAAACTGCACACACTCATACCCTTATCTAGTGACTTATTAGAAACACGTTTCCAAAAACGAACTGTTTCACGATTTGTGTTTTCAGTATGGGTGTATAATTTACCGTGTAGAGCAAAACGTCCAAGTATCGTCGACTGATGTTTACCACAGACCTTATTTTGCTCATAAATTGCAAAACCCCATTATAAAAACCCATAGGAAAATCTCCACGGCAAATTACTTTTCCAGGTTTTGACACCATGGCTGCAGCGCTCTATTATTGTACACAATATTCCAAGTATTTTGAAGTCGCACAGTGATATTATGTAAAGAACAGATGACATTTTTGTCAGTATTTGCCGTTTCTTCTTTGGATTTATAGGACTTTAAATAAGGTGCCAAACGATTAATCCCGATTAATTGCGATTAATCGCATCCAAAATAAAAGTTTTTGTTTACATAATATATGTGTGTGTACTGTGTATATTTATTATGTATGTATACAGTATCTATTTTGAAAATATTTACATGTATATATTTATATTCAGATAATTTATATTATATATAAATATATTTAATATATAAACATAATTTAAAAAAAATATATATATACATGCATGTGTGTGTATTCACATATACATAATAAATATACACAGTGCACACACATATAGCATGTAAACAAAAACTTTTATTTGGGATGCGATTAATCACGATTAATCGTTTGACAGCACTAGTTTAAACATGTTACATTGCAATTAGTCGTGAGATGCATAAGAAACAAATGCTGTATGTTTGAGGTCACTGCTGTTAAACCTGATAAAAACCTGAGTAAAAAGTAAGGGATTACTCTTAATTTTACTGTAATTTAATTAGTTACTTCTGCTGTAACTGCATTAAATACTGTATAGACTTTAGAACAATTCTATATAAAGCAATAGTGGATTTAACATCAAAATGTATCATCTAATGTTAAAATGTATATTTTTAATGTAACCTTCTCCCTTTAAATACTTTGGTGAGTTGAAGAGTAATTACTGTTTTAGAGTAACTTGCCCAACACAGTTCATAACTAGATAAAAAAATGTTTAAGACAAACGTTGATGTTGGCTTGAGACAGCAAATCTGAAGTAATTTTACAAGCTTAAAATTTCAAGGTTACCTTAGCATACCATACAGTTTATCAGAAATAGCAAATAAATAAATAAATTAGAATGAATGTAAAATATAGATTATAAATTATATTTGAATGAAAACAACTAGTGTACATGCCATGTTCTCACATTTATTCGGCTTTATCCAGTGGATGTCGCTAGTGTAACCTAATGTCACCCAGTCTGTTGCTTACATTAAGTAATTATTAGAAGAAAATTAATTATTATGAAAAAATCGTTTTTACAAGATACTAAGTCATTATGAGAAATTTCATCATTATGTGAAAGCGTCCATTTTTTACAAGATACTAAAGCCTTATTATGATACAATTTTAAGTCATAATAATGAGATTTAAAATATATATATATATTACTTTAACTCACAATTGTGAGCAATCTTATATGAGATACTAAGTCAAAATTATGGGAAAGTTTCTCATTATTACTATATAGTAAGTCATTACAATTTCAAAGTCAACACAATGAGCTGTTAGATCATAATAATATATAATGAATAATAATTTTCTCTCAATTTTATAACATTAAGTTTTTAGATTTTTCTCACTATTATGATATACTGTATTAAGTCATTTTAAAAGTAATTTTCCTAATATAATACTATAAATAATAATAATAAAACACTTTCAGTGAATGGAAAACAGTAGCTTCAAAATATCATAACATGAGAGTAAGAAAATGATGACAGTTTTAATTTTTATGAACCAATACTTTAATGACATATGACTAAAACATTTTGTTTTCCTTTTAATTGAAAGCTGAAGTGGCTTTACCTTTTCTGGCACCACACTTTTCCCATCCCAGGCGTAACCCCTCTTGGTGAAGTAGTTAACAGTGGCAAACTCAATGAGAGCAGAGAAGACAAATGCGTAGCAGACGGCGATGAACCAGTCCATGGCTGTGGCATAGGCCACCTTGGGCAGAGAGTTTCTCGCGCTGATACTCAGGGTGGTCATGGTAAGGACAGTGGTCACTCCTGCAATGGTCAAAGCATATGGACCTGCATTAAACAACCAGTGTTGGAGAAAGTTACTTTTAAAAGTAATGCATTACAATATTGCGTTACTCAATAAAAAAGTAACTAATTACGTTACTTAGTTACTTTTTATGGAAAGTAATGCGTTAACGTTACTTTTGCGTTACTTTTTAAATCTGGACAGGGCTTGCTTGTTTGTTTTTAAAATAAAAAAGTTATATTTTTGGCAAATATAAAAGCCTTTTCACACCAAAAGTGAAATGAATAAGCCTCAGGCTGAAGGGAAAGTAAATTTACGTCCGTACAGTAGAATGCAGAAGAAGAAATTTAAACACACTTCAGCAATAAAAAAAGACACACAAATGTTTGTCTAGAGTAATTTGTGCTTATTAGTACGGTTGAACTGGATCATCGAAAGTCAGAAGCAAAGACATTGGTTAATAGAATGGGATTAAATACATAAAGGATATTTGTATTGTTTAACATTTAATTATTGCAGGTTTGCGTCATATTCTGTTGCATTATTTTGATTCATTTTGAGTTCATAAAGACAGCCACTTGCTTCATTCCTGAATGATTCAGCTGTTTGAACGAATCAATTGAATGAATGATTCAGTGATAAAATCATTGACTTGACGCCACCTGCTGGCGGATTTAGTTTAATTTTTAGCGTATAATTTCAGTTATTTGAATCATATTTCTGTATTCAAAATGTTATATTTAAAACATTAATCTCCACATGAAATTATGAATTTAATTGCACTCATGCCACCTCTGAGCCTCATTAAACTTCTGAAAATGTACCTACAAGCCACTTTTGTGTTCTTCTGTGCCACCTCTGTAGTACAAATTAATTTATTAATACTAATTTCATATGATTGGTAAATTATTTGTTAATTAATTAGTACTCTATACATTTTAGAACACATTTTCAATGTGAACAGTGACAGCTGGCAAACATTCGTTAGTATGAATTATGTGTCCAGTTGAATGTAATTAAATTGAAACTGTAGCGCATATTTTATTACTCCTGTCTCTTCTGCTCAATACGTGCCTGAGCCTTTCTCCTGAAGCCAGACTGAGCCTCTTGGCAAACACTGATTCTCACAGCATCATTAAAAATGTTTGTTATTTGTTCTTAAGCTAAGTAATACCCGAGAAACACCAAACTGCTGTTTGCTTTCATGTGACAAACACATCAATAAGGTATCTTTAAAATAGCAAAATAGCAAAATATTTAGGCCAGCTTTTGCTTAAAGTGTCTATGTGAAATGATAGGCTGATAGTCACAGCTGTTTCTCATCCTGTAGAGATACACCCAACGGTAAAGCCCTCATTAGGTTAGTTAGCATGGTTATTAAAATTTTCCACTCATCTTGTCTAAATATTGAACATTTGTTAAGATGATCCATATCTTTTAACAAGATTTTCCTTGACACACACAACAGGATAGGAGACAAATTAAGGAATAATGAATAATGATATTGCAACAAAAATGAAATTAACTCTCAAAGGTGTTCGGCAATGTTGTTAGGGAAAGAAAGCCTGTGGAGACTACGATAGAGAAAAAAAGAGCTCATTTTCTTTTTGGCAAGCATGTAATAAAACAATAACATTTTGATAAAATGATTAATTTCTCTTTTTTTTTGGATCCACACTATGTCTTGTCTGAAATGATTTGCATGTTATTAGGACTTTCTTAAATGTGTTTGTTTGCTTAGAAGCAGCACAGTATGAAACAGTATAAAGAATACTATATATATATATATATATATATATATATATGTGACCCTGGAGCACAAAAGCAGTCTTAAGTCGCTGGGGTATATTTGTAGCAATA